ACTGCATTTTCATATTGCTTCTCATGTATGCCAAGAACTGTTGCTTTGTTTCAAATCCTACTTTTTGGTACTTCTTACCCAAGCTTTGCCATTGCAATTTTATGCATATAATTAAACATACTTTATTGTTTATTTTCATATTAAGTTTCCACTATTTATGCTGAGATAAGTCTTCAGCTTTGATATCTCTACTGAAAAGTGTTGTCTGACACTGTGATAATCCATGGGTTTGCAAATTTTTGCTTTGTACGTTTTGTTGAGATCTAACATTTGCTTATTTCTTCTTTTTTTTCCCCCGTTCAGATACATACTTATGAATGCGTTTGCATGGGTGTTACCACGCAATTTTTGTCAAATATAGTGTTTCCTGATAAAATGTTAGTTGTGCTGAACTGTGCTTTCCTACATTTATTTCAGATATGTTTAAGGTTGAGTAATTTTTCTTTTCTTTTTCTTTTTTTTTAATTTCTTATGATTGTATATTTCTGATTTTTCTCTCCCCATTCCCAATTTAAGTCACATACAATTCAGTTTTCATATTTGTTTCTTTTTTTAGCTCATCAGGGAAATCCAGTTTACTTTGACTTGCAGTGATGATTGTTTGAAAAATTAAGTTAATAACTAACCTCATTTTGACATTCTGACCTGGTTATCAATTGTAACACAAACAATTCAATCTCTAATTAGTCCATCTGTTAACTGCTCAAGGTCAAGTGACTTCATTTCTTTACAAACATAATGCAAGATATCCAACAGATATCTAAAATGCCAATTGACACTAAAGAAAGGGATTATGTCTCTTTTATAGTTCTGAAATAATTGTGTCACTTTATATGACCATTTTTTTTTCAGTGAAAAATATTTTGAATCTTCAGATTCTCTGAGCTTCCTACACAGTGTGTGGACAATTTTCCTCTTTTTAATTTTTCTCCCCAGTGCCATCTTTATTTTGTATGTCATTCTCTATTTGGAAGGACTGCAGCTGATTCCTGAAGTTCTCTGGCAACATCTTCCAGCCCAAGTAATTTAGGTATCTTCACAGAATCACAGACTGGTTTGGGTTGGAAAGGACCTTAAAGATCATCTACTTCCAACCTCCCTGCCTTGGGCAGGGACATCTTCCTTTTCTTGATTTATTTTTTGTTCCCAAAGATTTAGTTTATCTCTGGCATCTGACAAACATAATGAGCAATAGTGCTGTTACATCAAAACTGAAAATTATAAAAGGCCTTTTGTTCATCCACAGTATGAAGACCTGTATCCAGCTTACTTACATCAGTAACTATGATAATAGGAAAAAAAATTATTACCCCACATAGCTGAAAGTTTAGCACAACAAAGCAAATAACTATTTAATAAAATGCTGCATTTTTGCAAGTGTAAACAACCAGAATAAGGAAATCAAACTCCACACCAAACCATCAAGGTTTCATTAAGAATCGTGGTTCTACTTTGTATAAATATAATTAAAATCACAGCTAAGTAGGTTCTGCAATCTGCTAGTGAGGTTTCTCACTAAAACACTGCAGAACGATAACTTTCTTTTTCTCTGATTCTTGACTTGGCATGGACTGAAGTTACTCGAAGAAAAGGCATTGTTGGAAATCTTTTCTTCCAGATGTTCTATAGTTTGAGCAGTCTCACTTAATGCTTCATATCTGAGAAGATTATACAGGAACCTCATATGAAAAATGTAGTAAGGGAACCCAAAGTTGAGTTCTTGTAGCTCCCAAGTCTCCTTGGAGTCTTTCACTGTGAAGAATGATTTTTTTCCTCCAGTAAATATTAAAGCATTTTGTCAAAATGGAAGTGTTCCAGCAGGGACACTGTGGACATCCCAAATGAAATTCTAGAGTATTTGTCCAACGCTGCATCCTCCTAGAGCAAATGTTGTAGGTCTCTTTTCCTTGGGCACTGGCTGACTTCTTTCTTCTGTTCTAAGAAGGTTGCTATCATGTTAAGAAACAGAGACAACATCCTCAATTTTTCTGAGGAACTTTTTTAAGTCACCTGAAGAAATATCTCTAGTTAGTGGTTGAAGAAAAAATGTTGATTCATATTTAACTTGATTCTCTTGTGTTTGAATCAGATGCTATCATTTTCAAATTTAAGTGGAATGTCAGACTTCCTTAGCAATATGATACTTAACTACAAAAGCCATCAGAGGACATAGCCTACAATATAAACAAATCAAAGTTTAGAAAACTGAAATGAATGGCAATCACAAGTTAAGAACAGTAGTTATGACATATTGCATGATAATGTGTAATGTAGAACATTTCTAGGGCAGTATTTGATTTAAGATTTTAATAATACAAGCACCTAATTTGAAGTAGAAAGGCTCAATTATTTGTTTTTATTTTGTTGTAAAAGTAATGTTTTGCATTATTCTCATGGTTCTAACAGTCACATCACAGATGCATTTGGCCCCTTGCCTTTTGGATTACAGGCAAGTCATAGAATGCAGTTGTTTGAAAGCTAAAGTAAATCAGGCTGTTATAAATTGCTAAATGCAATATCAAACCCTTAATCCTCTTTGGACAACTGCTAGGAAAAGAAGAAAAAAAAGTAGGATTGTAAACCATGTTTTCCAGGCAGAATACAATTTCTTGATTTTTTACAATATTCTTGCATGCTAGCTGGTGAGTTTAAGAAGCTGTTATCAGGAATTAAGATAATAACACTTATCATTAAATGGGAAATGTTATTATCAGGAGCTGAAAGAAAATACTTTGATATTTCTGCACAGATTCTTACCTCCATTTGACATTAAAGTCTTGGCTGAGACAACACAGAACTAACAAATATGTCTTGTAAGATAATAGATGGAGAAATCACTAAAGCTTTACAGACTTGTTTTCCTGTGGTTGTCTTAAAAAGCAGATGCAATCCTTTTAGCAGTACTTTGGCTCTACCACAGGTATAGCAAAAAATAGAGCAGCTTCAGTGTAAAAAGTGGTTTCCAGTAACTGGGTGCTGATACTTAAGGCAAGTGTGTCTTCCTGGTGTTTCCCTAAACATAATGATTCATTTTGGATGCATGTCCACTGCACAAATACAAGGCTGAAAATGCTTTAGAGAGCTGATATGAGACCCCAACACAGCACTAAAACTATTAACATATGGTCTTTTCATCTAATGCTTCTTCATAAGATAATAACATGGATTTGGAGGTAAATAAACTCTTTCTTTTTTTTAATTGAAAATGTTTGTAGTTGGAATTAAAACTGTGGGCTCTTAAGTGCAGGGGAATAACTTATTTCACCTTCAGCAGTTCAAAAAGGAGAGCAGGATGGGGTGAGGATATTTCATAGGAACAGTGCAGCAGAGATATTCTACTCCTTTGATTTTTTAGTTTACTTTTTTTTAAGGCTGAAGCTTGGTGAAATCTAATTTAAATGTCTTTGGTGTATTTTTAGGTGTCTTAGGGATAACTCACCGCTGAGAGGTGCGATTTAGCTGAATCCAGTGAAAATGTGAGCTCTCTTACCTAATAATCAGGATGAAAGTTCTGCAAAAGGAGCACCCTTAAACCCTCTTTGGCTTTAAAATATGTGCAGTTATCAGAAACTCCTTCAGAGCCTCAGCTATTGCCATTTACAGAGTTATTCTAAGCTTCTGCACAGAGTGCACAAAGCAAAAATTTACTGACCTAAGTGCACTTTGCACTTGCATGGGGAACTATCTGTTCAGGATAATGGAGCATTAGGATGAGGTTTCATATATTTGAAAAACTCTGGCAAAATTGAATAAACTGATCCTGGGTATTTTTGTTCTAGCACTGCTGTAGATTCTGTAGAGAAAAACGAAGTGAAAGCTGTGAAAAGAGTTTCATGGAAAGAAGCTATTGAAAATACTCTTACCTACTTTGTGAATTAAGGAGGTATTTGTTCACCTAACCTTACTTGGATTAGCTCTTGAATCCAAAAAGTTCATCTGGGATTATTGAGTGAAATAGGAGAAAAAGATCCAAAGGGCAATTGGTCCCCTTTATGTTACTCGTGTCAGAACAAGGAGAATCACTCTCCAGATGTACTCATTTGTCTTCACTGACAGTAGAGCAGCCTACACTGGCAGACTAGTTTCTATAAAAGAAAAAATAAAAATATACATATATATTGGGATATAGACGTATATATTGGGTTTTTTTCTTGCAAAAATCAAAAACTTTTCTTCTTGCCCTTTAGCCAAACATCTCTAGCCAATCTCCCCTGCCATTTCATACTCCTTCCTCTGGCCTTTTGACAGAGACATGGAAATCAGATCAACCTGTTCTTTTTTGCTGAAATCTTTGCAACAGTGCAGATTGCTTCCATGCAATGGCCTCTGCCTCCCCTTGTCATCTTTTCTGTGGGCCGACAACTCTAATTCTGTCACACTTAAACTGGACACAACACTCACATTGAGTCTTCACTGGAGCAGGGGGGACAAAAATGATTATTTTGTGTTACTTCCAGGCTCCACTTCTTTTCACAATTTCTGATAAAGAGTTCACTGTTTTAAGACGAGTTTATTATTATTCTTAAATTTTAAAGTTTATTCAGAAATAGACTTTCTGTAATATTAATAACCTTTCCTTCTGATTGTTACTCCACTGTGTCCATCCAAAAGACCTTTGTATATCTGTTTCATCTGAGTTTTTAATGGAAATCTTTATAAGACCTCAGCTTATTATAAGGCTTATTTTGTAGATTCTGAAAAAAATTTACAAAGGGTGAAAAACTTTCCTCTCACCCTTCTTCAGTACTATGCAAGTCTTTATTTGAAACTAGTTTTGCTGTAATTCCTGCCATTCCTTTTTTTAAGAATGGTGATCACCATCTAAAATAATCAATTCTTCTGCAGTATCTGCTAATTTTTGTGAGTTTCTCTATGATTTAGGTACAGATGTTCCTATAATTCCTAACAAACTTTATTCATATCTAATGCCATCTTCAATCTCAGAACTCTTCTTTACAATGTTTTTTGTTCTTTTTTCCTTTTTCTTCTTTGCTTCTTAGAGGGTAGAGGAAAAAGGAGAAATCCTCTTCATGACTTCAAAAAAACAGGAGAGTTGATGCTCATTAAAGTAAACAAAACACTGGAAGTAAAAACCAAGCTGTTAAACACCACTGAGCAATGTGCCAAGAGATGCAGTAGAAACAAAGGCCTTTCATTCACTTGCAAGTAAGTTATGTATTTCCATTATTTTACTTGTTTGGTATTGTTTGTGTGGGTTTTTTTCCTAATGAAACCTATATGACACCCTTTGACCCAAGGTCTCTGTAATTGTAATCAGTGGTAGCTTGTACTGAAGGCAACCTAAAGACTGTGCTTTTTGATTTCCATGATCTTGTTTTACCTCTCTGAAGAGTGTCAGCCTTTTGTAAAGCTTTATCCAAATTGTTCTATCTTCTTAGCTTGTCCAATCTGTAATCTTTTCCAAAACATAGCTGGAAAAAATCTACTCATGTTAAGATGTGGATGACTTGTGCTGCACTATAGTGTTCGGTGAACATTTCTGAGATTTTTATGTCTTTTATAAAATGGTTATTGTCACACATCACAGCTGCAGTATTTCAGCACCGCTTCAGACCATATTTTGTCTTCATTCTTTGCACATTACTCCT